TCTTAAAAATTATTTAACACAATGATATTAATTTTGGTTTACTCCATAAATAGCAATAATTTTTTACAATCTTAGCATACTATAAAGATTATGCCACAATTAATGAATGCACAAATTAAGGAATGCCACTAAATAAGAAATTTAATGAAATTGACTTTTCTCTATCTCACGTTAGGTTTGGGTGGTAGGGATTATTTTTTATCTGCATAAATTCTTTTCAAATCTTACCTAATATTTTACCTAATAATTTTGCTATTCCAATTTTTTTCTGCCTTCACGCTACTTCTTTTTTGTATATACATACATTTATATTTATAATTTATACATTACTGCATATATGACTTGTAAGCACATGCACATATTTAATGTACCATTTATGTATTTTTGGTGTAATCTAAATATATTTTATGTATATTTGACATGAAATATTTTTTGGACTTCTTCATCTCTTTGCAAAGCATAATAAAATATAATGTATATTTCATAATGATATACATTAAATAAACAGTATTTCAAAGTAATTTTTTTAAATAAAAATACATGGTATAATCAATGTCATAGTATTGTTTTAATTGTTATACTCAATATATAATAGTAATATTTGATATTATTTTATAATTGTTTGATTTCATATGTATATTGTTATGTATTCTAGATTTATTAGTATCATATTTTATAAATGATACAAAATGAAAGAAAGTATATAAGGATAATATTTTATAGCAAGAAAAAAGAAGAGATTATTTGGATAGTTACAAACATGATTCTCGGTCCACCAACAAATTTGTAACATGTTAAACAGAATGTGAACTATCCTAATTTGAATTATAAAAGAAAAAACTATAGGCCATATTGTTTCATTTTCTTTAGAAAATAATTAAACAGATCCTTAAATTTAGGCGTATGAATCCTAACTTTGAGGTGTATGATTCATTGCCTTTGTTTGAGAAGGAATCTTTGGGGATTTAATTATGGGCGAAAAAATAGGAATGATATGTTAGGGTTGACTATTGTCTAGCTTGATTTTAGGGATTTTTATTGAATTTGCTGTGCTATGTTAATTTTCAGGTGCCATAGAATGATAATTAACTATTGCGGCTATGGATATGCAAATTTTCTTTAAGTATTGGCTGGTTATATTTTTCTATTTTTACATTCCTATGCCATATAGTAAATTATATTACCCTCTATGCTTAACTTTTAGTATAATTACCTTTTATATACCTAATTACCATTTATGTACATTTTAGGGGTTTTAATGGTATTAATTAGTCTCCTAATTTAACTCTATCGTATATTCTCACCCCCCCCCCCCCCAAGTTTCTCTCTCCAAATCTCACCCCCTCACCCACGTATCAAACCACACCCCACAATTTCCTCTTCAAATACCCACTATTTCCTCTTCTAAAACCAGCGAAAATCTGTAACCCCTCCACCATTGACAACCATTAAAAAGCTTTGAAGCTTTGAATTCAAATTTGGGTTTTCAAAAGACATTGTTTGTTTGGATTGGATGTTGTTGCAAAGAATTGAGAATTCTCTCTACGTCTCTCTCTATCTCTCAATCCCAAATTTCAGTAATATAAAGCAAAGGAAAAGAGAGCAGCAATTTTACCATTGACAGTCATTAAAAAGCTTTGAAGCTTTGAATTCGAATTTGGGTTTTCAAAAATCATTATTTGTTTTTATTGGGTGTTGTTTCAAATAATTGGGAATATGGTTTGGAGTTTATACCTCAATTTTGAGGGGTTTTGGTGAAGATTAGACTTGGTTTTGGCTGAACTTTAGATTGAAACTCGAAGAAGAAGAAGAAGAAGAAGAAGAAGAAGAAGAAGAAGAAGACGACGACGACATGACATACATTATATTACAGAAATTGTAGAAAAATTATAGAAAAATTGTATTCTGTTGTTTATTTATTTTTCTTTTATTCATTTAACTATTGTACGAAAGTTGAACAACATTGTATAAAAATTATATTTAAGTTGTATGATATTGTAGTTGTATATAACTGAGTAGAAATAATGTATGAAAATTGTAGATAAGTTGTATAATATATATTTAGTTGTATGAAATTTATTTTTACTTTGTATAAATCAGATACAAAATATACAAAAGACATATTGTATAAAGTTTGTATTTAAGTTGTATGTTATTGTACTTGTATTTAACTGGATAGGAATAATGTGTGAAAGCTACAGATAAATTGTATAATATATAATTAGTTGTATGAAATTTGTTTTTACTATGTATAAACTAGATACAAAATATACAAAAGACATATTGCACAAAATTTGTATAAAAATTGTATTTAAGTGGTATTATATTGTAGTTGTATATAACCGAGTAGAAATAATGTATGAAAATTGTAGATAAGTTGTATAATATATAATTAGTTGTATGAAATTTGTTTTTACTATGTATAAATCAGATACAAAATATACAAAAGACATATTGTATAAAATTTGTATTTAAGTTATATGTTATTATAGTTGTATTTAACTGGGTAGAAATAATGTGTGAAAGTTATAGATAAGTTGTAGATAAATTATATGCCAACCTCAGTATTTTACATTTTAATTTTATGAATTGTATGATAACCATGTATAATGAATAATCCACGAGAGTTTGATTCATTATTACATTTCATGTCCTACCAATAGTTTTACTTTTGGTATATGTATCACTTATCTGTGAGTCGCTTCTTGAAACACGTGATATTTTGAAGAAATAGAAATCAAAATTTAATTTCGCATATGTGTATCAAATCAATAGTGTGATACCAAAACAATACTGACATCAAAGAAAGTAGTACTGTGGGACGAATTCCTTCTTTCAAATATCAACGTAAAGCCTAATTTCCTTACTCATTGGCTTGTACATAGGACCTAGAGCGTGGGATGGGTATTAATTAGATATGGGGAAACTTACACTTGGAATTAGATTCTGAACTAATTAATTCGCTTTTCAAAAGAAAAGGTTTAATTAGAGTCTAATGATAGTATTCTTAGAGAATTGATCGAACTGTAACTCACCGACAGAGTTAGAAGGTGGAGAAAGACAGAATCTAGAGAGAAGATGGGAGAGAGGAGAAAAAAAAAGAAAATGGTGTAACTAAATCCCTTAATTGAAGGCACTAATAATGGATTGAAACTCTTTTAAGGTGGAATGTATATATTTTGTAAATAAAACTTGTGTAGGTAGGGTAATTTACTAAACATGAACATTTAGGGTAATAAAGTTTCCAATAGTGTATAGGAATGAAAAAATCTCTATATTTTTTGCCCTTAAAATTTCGGGGCATTTGCATCTATACCCGCTTTTTGGGTCACGTTTTAACTTGTGCCCGCTTTGCAAAAAAAATTTGCAAACGTACCCACTTTTTCGCGTAACTTCAGCATACAGGGCTGAAGTAGCAAAGGCAATCACGCAAAACTTCAGCATTCTAGTAGACGGGCTTGAAGTAGCAAGTATGCTGAACTAAGTGTGCTGAAGTTTTTGCTTGTAATTGCTGAACTTAAGCAAAGTAGCTGAAGTTTTGTTCTCTATTTGCTGAAGTTTTTGTTTGTAATTGCTGAACTTAAGCATAGTAGCTGAAGTTTTGTTCTCTATTTGTTGAAATTTTTGTTTGTAATTACACTAAATAAGCTGAAATTTTTTTGTCCTGGATTCATTAGTTTTGTCATTAAGCTTTTTCAAAAACTTCAGCAGAAGATGCTGCAGTTATTTAGTTCATTTATAAAAACTTCAGCACTAAATAAGCTAAAATTTCTTTGTCCTGGATAAGCTTTTTTAAAAACTTCAGTAGAAGATGCTGAAATTATTTAGTTCATTTCTAAAAACTTCATCACTAAAAGCTAAAGTTTTTGAAGAACCAGTATCCATCTTAAAAGCACAAATTGCATTGATATGGACAAGTGTAACATTAACCAGTTTTTACATCAAGAAAAATTTCAATAGCCAACGAGTTGTGAGGAACAGTCAAGAATTCAGCTTTTGGAGTCAAAATTAACCAACGTACAGAGGAACCGTGTCCTTTAAGTAGTTCAGTCTTGCTTTGCCTGTGATCCTGATGAATTGTTTTCGAGTCCCGATGCACCAGGACATATCCAAAAGGGAAATGTGATAAAGACAACTACACACATGGCTAAAGCAGAAAATTAAATTTCCAATGATGCTACACGAAGTTATCAAAAACTTAAGCTTCCATCCGCCAGAAAGTTCACGATTACAATTGTACAGTTGCTTTAGCAGCACCAACAGTAGCAGCAGAAAGAAGAAAACGAAGGCGGAGGAGAAAAGGGGCTGAAGTTGTTTAAAAAAACTAAAATTATTTAAAAAGTGGGTACAAGTTAAAACTTTTTAAAATGGGTATGATTAAATGGGAGCGACCAAATAACGCACACCGTGCAATTTTTACTAAAATTTCGGACCTTCACATCTAAAATTGAGCCCTACTAAAGCCCAACCACAAACTTCTAGTTAAACTTTAAATAGTTTTGTATACTAGATACTCCCTTCGGTAATACTAAATTCTAGACAAAAGTAGTCAGTGTGACTAAACTACCCTTAATTAAATGTTGTAGCATAATTTAATGTGAGTTTTGGAAAAACAAATTGAATTTTTTTCTTGATTATATAGATGGACACTTATTTTGGACCAAAATAAAAAAACAAAGTGGTCACTTATTATGGACCGGAGGGAGTATATTTCTAGATAAGGGCCAAAATGCCCCTGAACTACTGAGAATAGAGCAATTATGATTTATGCCCTCCTTTGCTTTTTAGCACAAAAATGCCCTCACCGTTAGCCAAGTGGAGCACATATGCCCCTGCTCACTAACAGAGCCCACATCAGATGTATCCACATAAAATAATGTTTCTTGTGCTGAGTTGGGAAAAAATAAATCTCCGTAATTTTGATCTCATTTCCTACCAAAAAGAAGTTAAATAAAGGGAGAAAGGGGGGGGGGG